TATTTCACTTCTCCATTATACTTGAAAGAGAGTTTTGCGGGATAGATCAGTCTGGGTTGGAATTTGTTTTCTTGCAAGACTTGAAGTACTTTGTTCCATGCTCTTCTTGACTTGATGGTTTGTGAAGAGAAATCTGCTGTTATTTTGTCATTCCTCTTGTTTTCATCTTCTGTGCATCCCCATTACCTGTGAGAGAAAGGTCACTACACTTCACTTACAGAGCATTCATGAATGAGGAGACACTGCTGACCTCAGGTGCCAGCCCAGGACGGGCCTGAGCCACCCGGCTCTCCTGTCCCTTCCCTGCCTCAATCCTATACTCAGTGTTCTTGACTTTGGCCAATCTTTTGAATTACTTTATCACCTAGGAAACTTGAAAAATAAAAATCATACAGATGCCCAGACCCAACTTCAGAGCTTCTGATTTAATAGTCTGGAAACTGGTATAAGTAAAATTTCAAATCACTGCTACAGGTTAATTGATTTTTATAACATTTCCTATATTCTATACTGTCTGGCCTTACAACTTTACTTTGCTGTTCCTCACCCTTGCAATGCTATCCCACAACTATATATGGATTTTCTCCTAGTTTCCCCTCAGATGTCTCTTTACCATTTCCCCCAAAACTTCCAGCCAGCATTCGCTCCTTCCTCTGAATGCCTTGGGCCCATCTCCTGACAACTATCAGCTTCTACCTGTAATGTAATCACTCCTTACTGTGTCTAAGAAGCTATGCCCGCTGGGCATGCTGGTGCAGTCCTGTAATCCCAGCACTTGGGAGGCAGAGGCAGGCGGAGTGCTGTGAATTTGAGGCCTGCTTGAACTGCCTGGTGAGACTTTGTCTCAAAGCTAACAATAGCAAAGCTATGCCAGCTTGTAGTGGGAGCTTTCCGGGACAAACACCTATGTCTTTATCTCTGTGTCTTCACTCTCTTGCCGGCGCCTAACACATGGTTGCCATTCAGCTAGCATTTGTAGAATAGATGGAAAGATTGCTAGATTGGTGAATAGCTGTTCCTACCACACTACTGGGAGAATGGTGGCCCATCACTTGGGGATTTTAGGGTGCTAAGCAGAACATCTTCAGGTCAGGTCTCATTTCATTGCAGGGGTAATGGGCCTTCGGGCATCCTTGGAGGAGAGAATGAAGAGTATCCTGAGAGCATTGAAATGACGTCAGTGAAGATGGCAAATCCATACGGCCATGCTCTACCAGGTGCTCCTGGCAATGGCTATGGTAAGCGTGTGTTGAGATGAAGATAATGTCCTAAAAGGAAGCAAAATCCAGTGGACTTAAAGTTAAGCAGCCGTAGCAATAGAAGAATTGCTTGCTGCTTCCCCTTCAAACACGTTCTTTAAAGACAAGAGCTTAGAAGTCAGTGTTTAGGGAAGCCAAGTGCAACTGATGATCAGGGAGAGCCAAGTAAGGCATGTGGAAAATGGGAGCCTGTGTGCCCTGTGCCTGCCTCACACGGCAGAGGTGGCCCACTGTGTTTATGTGGACTCAGTTTAGCAAGATCCTGAGAATTCTCAAAAGAAGTACAAAAAATTTGAAGTCTCCTGTATGAGTCCATTTTCTGTTGCTATAACAAAATACCTGAGATTGGGTGCTCTGTAATGAAAATGAGGTTTACTTTGTTCACAGTGAAGATGAGGTGGCCCCATCTGTTTGGCCTCTAGTGAGACTTGACTGCATCACACCATGGCAGAGAAGCAAAAGGCAGGAAGGGAAGCCAGCCGTGTGCAGGTACACCAAGCACATGTATGGCCTTGCTTTATAGCAGCTCACTCTCAGGAGAACAAACTCACTCTGTGAGACCTGCTTTAATCCATTCCGAGGACAACACACCCCATGACATAAATCAGAATTCTCTGGGCCCTGCCTCTTAAGAGTCCCACAGCACAAACATGGCCACAGTGGAGATCAAGATCCCAGGACATGAACTTTGGAGGACACATCAAACTGAGCCCAAACTAGAGCACTTCTTGAATTTCATGTGCTCCAAAATAATTTTTAAAAATGTAAAACACTGAGTGGGCAAGCAGAATCACTTTTGGGAACATAAGGAATGCTTGTGGGCACCTTTAGTTTATCACCTCCTAAATGTATCCAATCAGCAATTGAGTATTGAGCATCTTCCCTTTACACACACAGATTCTGATGATGTGACTCTTCACATATAAAGAGTCCCTAGCTAGTTTTCTTAGTCTTGGTGTAGCAGTTTGACCTACCTGTGCAAGTTTAAAGTAACACAAGGTAGCATTTGTGTGTATTTTTTTAACTTGTAAACAAAGATTTATAGACAGCAAAAATAGAAATCCTCCTATTAGAAAAATTAGAAATCCACAATCCAGTTGTGTTGGAGGCAAGGAGGACAGGAAGCAGGTCTATCCTTATGTTACTTCCTCCCCCAATATAGCTAAGATTTTCCTCATAACTTAATGCTTTTTTAATTATCAAGTCTTTAGTCTTGAAACTAGTCTTAATAACTGTCAATAAACCTGTCATTTTATTTTTATTTATTTATTTATTTATTAGAGAGAGAGAGAGAGAGAGAGAGAGAGAGGAGATGAGAAGGAAAGAGAGAGACAGAGAGAGAGTGAGAAGAGAGAGAGAGAG